GCAATGATTGCTACCTAATTATTATATTACGATTTCAAACACAAACGACAAGACCCAAGTTTGATAAAACAAGTTTAAGTTTCATTGGAAGTAAGTGCTGACTAGTAAATGTAATATAAGAATCTTGAGGGGGCCATTCCCATTCTCATCCCAATTGTGACCAAGTGACCATTACAGTGGACGCCACGATGGGCCTTCTATGTCGCGCTATTTCCTTCCTTATATTTATTGCATGATTTTTGCGCTTTCAAGCCCTGGTATTAAGCAAAACTTCATCAGTCACTGAGCTTGCAAGAACTAACGTTTCAGGGCTTTTTTTTAACTGGCTTGGTGGTTACAATACCAAGCAATAAAATTTATATAATTAATTTATTATTAAATAATTATATTATTAATACGTTATTTACCAGTGAATCTGAAAACAATCGTTCGATTACTGAGTAAATATGTGGTTACGAAACTTTGTGCTTTCGTAAATTAATTATTCGATGTGATCTTTTACAAATTTTTATGCCTTCGTAATAAACGGTTCAATTAAATCATTTGTTTTCGTAATTTAACTTTCGTAAATGATCGATTCGATTTGTATTTTTCATGATTTAACCGCTATTTTGACAGTACCTCTAAGAGATAATTTCCACTAATGATTGTGTTCCAAGTGGCGCGGTGGTTTAAACCTCCCCTCCCCCCTCGAGTGGTCCATCTTTCGTTAATGGTATTATCGTGGTGCACCAGGTAAGTTGTTTCATCTGAGGCCGCGGATCGTCTGTCCCCGAAGTTCTATCAAAGCTGTGGGCTATGACAGGATGACCGTGTTGTAAAAAAAAATTAAACGAATATCCGCCTTAATAGAGAAAAAAAAAACATAATGTCATTGAAAATCCTTCACCATTCAACTCTTTCAAACACAAATAATGTTTTTTTCTCATTTTATCTTCCTTAATCCTACTCCAATTTTCGCTATAAGCTTGGTACTGAATATAAATGACAGTCCAATTTAAGTTACTAAAATATCTTTTGATGCGGTAATACATTTTAATGATTAATAACTCTACTTTACGACAGATTTCGTGCGAACCTTTAAACTAAATTTTAAATGTTAAAGTAAACAGTAGCTTTAAACATTATGTAATAGGTTTTCCCAAACCCGTGGGTTCTGGCTAGCCTACCGATTCTGTGTCAGATAAAGCTTTAATAGTTTCGGAACTGAAAGCAAAAACATCAGTTCATACAAGATACAAGTAATAGTTTTTGATTCATTTTAACCTTATTTTTAAAACGCGATTCTTCTTAGTAAGTATTATGCAAAAAGAAAGAATACACTCGAAGAATTATAATACTGATGTATTAAGAATGAATGAATCACGTATGAATTTTTGTATTTTAGTATTTTGTACATTTGATTGAAAAGCTATCAAGGATTATTCAAGCAAATTGTGAAAACAGCCATCACGGACCAATGAAAGTGATAAAAAACGAGAAAAACTTTGCAAACGCTTCTATTCAAAAAAAAATTAAACTGTATAGTACACTCACCACTCATCATATTGTATTTAGTTCACCTTTTAAGAACTACATTCTATTGTTTTGTTTTCCTAACATAATAAGCGGATATAAGAAACAATAAGAAAGGATTGTAAACAATTCCGCGATATTAAGAATATTGTTTACAATATCAAGTTAACAGATAGGTAGTTTTATAGAATGCTGACGCATAATCGGATGGTTCGTCGATGGTATGTCCTCAGCAATAAACTATCATCAAATAATTTAATATGCGCACGGGACTTAAACGTTTTCTAAATACAATTAAAAATAGACTTGAGTTCACGTAAATACGTACACAAATTTATTTAAAAGTAAAACCTATTAATAAACTCTTTGACGAATATTAGAACTTCCGAGTTCCTTTCGCCGGTTCTTCCCAGGTTGACATTGACAATCAATAACTAAGTGTAATTGAAAGTATTGAATATAGACATTTGAATGTGATAATTGAATGCAATACTAAGTAAACATTCATTGATCTCTGATGCGGCAGGGTAAATATTATATACAGAAGTAGACAGTATAATGATTATGCTTACGCAGAGTCGTAGTTGATTAGCGTGAGAAGAAATGAAAGCCATATCTAGGTGACAGTGCTGTCTTTTTATATATGAAATATTACTCTGCTAACTATATTATTTCGATTATTAGAGTAAATAATACAAATAATACATTCGCGGTGTCACATTAATAAGAAATTATGAAACAAAGCAGCGCGGAAAGTGGATAACTCAGCGCATTGCTTCTTCATTCGTAAATGTTCTTAATGTTTAAACTTTGATTTATTAGAAACAACTTACAAATAATTAGAGATAAATATCTATTACGTATTATATCAATACAGTTCAATAGTAAGTTAGAGAATAGCCTTTTTTATATCCTAGATTTATAAAATAACAAATAAGTTGTATTAATTCTATATTTAAAATTTCAAACTTTTTAAAATAATTGTGAACACAAATAAAAATAAAAACGTCAAATTATTTACCATCAGACTTTGACAAACTCATCGATTACCGCAAGGGCGTCGGTGGTAGCCGCACAGATTAATTATCAAATTTATCATGGGAATGGCCACACTTCTGGTCCGCCTATCAACATTTTCAAAATGGGCAACATTAAAATTTACTACTTTTCTTTTATTTTCAACTTTTTTTTTTCTTTTATATTTCAACATCATCATAAATCCTGCAGTCCACGTTTATCCTACATGGTTACTGATAGTTTCAGTTCAAAACATTTTATAAGAGAATTATAAATATTTATTAACATTAAATTTTTATAATGCCAAGTGCACTTAAGATGAAACATTACAGTTTGTAGAAATAACATTGTACGACAAGATTTATGCCGCTGCAGGAATCGAATCCACGTCTTCCGGATTCTCGCCCAGGGGCTTAAATTACAAATTTTAATTTTTCAAACTTTAATGGGAATACTCCCCAAATGTAAAAAGTTAGACAGCTTTTTTCAAACATCGTTATAATTTTACAATTATAATGATGTTTCTCAAGCTTGAGCCAAAATGTGCGCTAACCGCATATAATGGCTTGCTGTTCTTAGTTGGATATTTTGCATGTTAATGGGAATACAGGATTTAAGAAGAACTTAAATTAACTTTCTCGTAAAGACCGCTGGCACGCGAACTTCACCAACACCGCAAACTTCACTTACAATCAGTAAAACTTCAATGTAATAAAGCATTTGTAAGCCGTCGTTACCTGTTCGATAGTACGGTAGTGTGTAACGATAGTGTGTAACGTGTTGTAACGACTAAATGAATAATGTTGATTCAAATCATTAAATTCACTTCAACCATCTTTTTACCATCAATTCGCGAAAATAGGTCTCAAAAGTTGTTAAGGATTACGGTTAGCAATGAAATCACGTTACTGAACCTATTTTGCATTTTTTTTATTTTTCATAATTTAAAAATTTATTTACTTAACATGTAACTTGTACAATTTAACCGTATTTTTATATTTGTAATAAGCCTTACTTATCTATTTATGACATATTACTAATACGATCAATCTATTAAAGCAATTTTGGCGGATATAGGGAATTTTATTTTATGTTATATACCACGTGAATGGTAATTTTTGGGTTCCCGTATATTATGTAAATGTACACATCGTCTTCGACGCGTAAACAACTGCTCGTCAACCGTAATGTTGTTCATAACCGTCTTAAGTGAATCGATCCACACTAGGTTTGAAACTTAAGTCTATTGCTTGAAAAATTGATCCTCTATCTATCTTACTTTAGAATTTATATGATAAAACTTCATTTCTTTTTGATCGTACTGGTCAAAAAAGGAACTTTTCTTTAAATCTATGCTATACAAAAAAAAAAGAGAAAAAAGTCATATCGAGACTGAATCGTAGGAAACTTAATAGGTATTTTTATAAAAAAAGCAATTGTATAATTAAAATTTAAATAAAAAAAATAAGTGTAATTTTGTATCAAATAAAAAAAAATAAAAATAAAAAATAAAAATAAAAATTTCTCGCTTATAAAGGGCTCACAATATAATTTCTAAAATAATATCCCTTCTCGCTTGAAAAGGTCTCACGTCACATTAGCTACTTTTACTAAATCCCTCATAGAAGCAGTAAATTCCCATCAACAAGTAGATATCTATACCAATTTCAGTACGACATTTTCGTAAGGTTTCGCGTAGAATCCTGCTGAAATTGAAAGCATACGGAATTTAAGCCTCTTTATACAGTTAACTTGGTCATATCTAATGAAACGTATATTTTTTGTAGTGGTGAACGGTTTAGAATCTTTAATACAAAACGTCTCATCTGGCGTTCCACAGGGATCTCATTTGGGCTCTGTTCTATTTAACTTTTTCATTAATGACATTTGTGAAGGCTTCTTACACTCAGTTTCATTCTTATTTGCTAATGACCTCAAGTTCGTTAAAAAAATAAAGTCTAAAACAGATACTTTAATGTTATAAGAGGATTTCATTGGCCTTCAGGATTGGTGTAACAAAAATGGTATGAAACTAAATATTCAAAAATGCCTTCACATCATATTCACAGAAATCGCACAAGTTTTTAGGAGAAGTAGATTCCATAAAAGACCTAGGGGTTATACTGGACTCAAAACTAACATTTGAGCCCCATGCCATAGAAATAATAAAAAAGCATCAAAAATGTTGTGATTTGTGATGCGGAATGGGAAATCCAACTTAGAGTACTGCAGTGTATGTAGTGTGGTGGTCGCACTATGCGACACATACACTTAAGTTGGAACGGGTACAAAAAATATTCCTGTTGCACCTTTCTTCCTGTACTAGGGCAGCCAAAAACAAGTCATATAGCGAAAGGCTAAGCATTTTAAAGGGAGAAGCATTTTGGACATGATGTTTCTATACAAACTTATAAATTATTTAGAGTGTTCTGAACTTTTGGGCCAACTACATTTGTGTTACAGGTACAATGGAAAACTTGACTGATTATTGTCTGCTTCTTCTATTTTTGGTAGCAGTAAATGTTTCATCACTACAAAACCATAATTTTTTAACGTCGTTACCGGCATCTGATATTTCATCTATCTCCGTAATTGAAGATAGGTAAATATTAAAACAATACTGAATGAAGTTGTCCCGCTCAATGTTATTTATAATTTTAATATTTCAGCGATACGGGTAACAAAGGATCACGTCGTGTTTGTTCAAACTCTTCTTACCGCTCTTGTGACGGGTCATGCAATAACTTAAAGAATCCAAGTTGGGGTACACCACAAACACCTTACAATTACTTGGTTCCTAATAATTATGCTGATGGTACGTGCAAATTTTAATAATTAAGTAGATAAATAAACGGTATTTTCTAAAGAAACATTTAGAAGAATTCATATTGTCATTTTTAATTATATCCATGAATGCGACCAATAGGAAAAGAGCTAGCTTTTTTCTTTTTATCTAATATGGTGGACAGAGAGCAAGAGGACGTTTATGCAATCTTATTAAGTAAAAAAGAGGAGGTTTTCAGAGGTTGGGACTGAAATTTCGAATACAGAAAACATCGGTGCATAAAACTAAGACCTCAAACCTCAATTTCCGATCTTTTTACAGTCTTCTCAATTTCTTAACCCTAACACTGATTAACAAGAATAAATAAGTTTAATATTATGAATCAAAACTTTCAAAAGAATATTTTAAGAGAGAAGATAGCTAGTAAAAGTGGTATTCACCTGATACCGAATGACTACTATCACTTATTTCGGATACCAATTATCTGCATCACGAGACTGCAACTTTCTTAATATCAACTTCGTATATTAATTATCCGTAATATTATAATATAATTCTAGATATTTGATTTTTGTACTGTAAGAGTCGAATAAATAATTCAAAAATTATAAAACGTTGCAAGAGCGGTGCCACTATTGTGATCAAAAATAAAATAAAATGTACAAAGATATAAAAAATAAAACTGTTTACGAAAAGTTAAGCTCTGGTACTCGTGGGACAATATTATTTCTCTCTTGTCACTGGTACGTATTTTTAAGGTAAACATGCATGGCCTAAAGCTTCTGATAGAGGACCACTGCCTAATGCACGTGAAATCAGTTTGAAGGTATATGTGGCGAAACAAGAAGTTGAAACAAAATGGAATTTAAATACGATGCAATGGGGTCAAATCATAGCTCACGATATGTCTGTGGGCGTAGACAACCTACCAGGAGGTAATTTTAAATAAAATTGGACTAAGAATAAATGTAATTAAGCCACCCGTTAACTGAATAGTGCAAATTCGAACTGTACCTTTTGTTTCACTGATACAAATACTGAGATACTTCGATCTACTTGTAGAAAATGTTAAAGTTAAATAAAAATAAATATTTTATAGAAATTTTAACATTTCACAGACGTATCAGCCGTATGTTGTGATATCGATTTTCAATTAGCCCCAGACGCTAATACAAATCCTTTATGCCAACCCATTCTGGTACCTGTTGACGATGAATTCAACATACGAGAAGGAAAAAGGTGCTTAAATTTGATAAGGACCAAATCAAGCGAAAGCAAAATTGATGCACCCGTACCAGTAAGTGAATATTGTTTAACGAATCTTCATTACCAATTAGTCATAGGACATATACATAATTAACAAGTGTGTAGTGACGGTAAAAGTTATAGGCAACCAGTAAAGATAGTTAAATGGAAAGAAGTATATAACAAGACAGAGGTAATTTATTCATAAAATTAATTTGCCAAAGAACTGGAAATCATCTTGGATTCTAAGCATTGTTAGGGTTAAGATATAGTATATTCATCATGTGTTTTATTTTCAATGCTTATTACATGTTCATTACAAAATAATTATCATTTAATTGGAATATCTAAATAGTTATCAGGAGTAACTGCGTACATGGATCTATCTTTAGTGTACGGAAGTGAAAATAGAAAATGCTCGTCTCTAAGGAAAGGATCTGGCGGTCGTTTATTAACATCAGTATTCAACAATTATGATTGGCCACTACGTGAAGCAAATCAGCATATTTGTGGCGGAGCCCGATGCGCAAATGAATTCGCCTACACTTTGGGTAAGTTAATCAACCGTTTAATATTGGATGCCTTGATTAGAATAAGATTATGTAGAATCAATTGTGTTTATACTAATAAATACACAGTTAAAACAGCGATTATAAAAGGACGCTCGTAGGTGTTAGAGTACCTACATGATCAATAACACGATTTACTTTACCTTTCCTTTAAGCATTTTCAATTAAATCGGAGGCACAAAGATTTTTATTTCAATCGACATTTTAATAGATATACCAAATTTCATTACTGGCATTTATCATTTAAATTAATGAAGTTTATCATAAAGTATAAGAGGCACATATATACTATTATACTGCTTTTTTATTCCAGGCGATATTAGAGCAAACCAAAGTCCGCAACTTACAGTTCTGCAAATTGTCCTTCTACTTGAGCACAACCGTATTGCTGACAAACTGGCCAACTTGAATCCACATTGGGACGACGAGACTATCTTTCAGGAGGCGCGACGAATCTGTATTGCTGAAATTCAATACATTAACTATTATGAATATCTTACTATACTACTTGGTAAGATGCATATATAAATACAATAAAAGAATTATAATAATTAATAATAAATAATCCACAACGTTTTCATTAAATTTGTTAAGGGAAAAACAACATGGTTCACCAGAGACTGATTTATCCGAACGCGCGTGGCTATGTAAATGATTACAACTCAAACGTTAACCCAGCAGTTTTAAACGAGCATGCCATAGCTGCTTTCAGACATTTTCATACTATGATTCGTGGATTTCTAGAGTAAGAAATATTGTAGTGCAAAACTTTATGCGTTACGTTTGTATAATTACATACCTAAGAGCATGAACTTTACGACGTCCTCTTTACCAATGCTTTTAAAGACACTAAAATCCTGGATTTTAAAACTCGTTAGATCTCGTAAAGTTGATTCAAATTGACCTATAAATAATACAGTTTAGCATACTTATTATAAGTAGCCTCGATAATGAGTATTGTATCAGTACAGTAATTGTCGTCAAGACTGTTTTCACTTATTGTGTCCTAATAAAATCACCATCCAATGCTATAACTAAAGTAATATTTTTATAGGTTGATAAGGGAAAATCGGCGTGTAGCGTATATTGCACGCTTAAGTGATTGGTTCAATAGACCGTCAATAATAGAAATCGGTGATAATTTTGATAACTTCATCAGGGGCTTATCGTATCAACCGGCAGATAAAAGTGATGAATATTGTGATCCCGAAATAACACAAAACTTATTCAGGTATTCTCTATAAATATTCTATTACTATCTTATGACAACTATGAGAAATTTTTTCTTAATATCAACTTCGTATATTAATTATCCGTAATATTATAATATAATTCTAGATATTTGATTTTTGTACTGTAAGAGTCGAATAAATAATTCAAAAATTATAAAAATTGCAGTGAATAAAAACATTTACAACAAAATTTTATAGTTATTTCTGTGTGCGTAAGTGTACAAACTTGTGGCACTCTTTTTATGAATTTTTGTGCTGTATTTTAGTAAATTGTAAACTGTTTTACCGGGAAGGATTAGTTTATTATATTTGGGACACGACATTGACACATTTTATATATTGAAAATTGTATAATTTATTCATCAAAAAGTATTATTTTCGATTATAACAAGCTTATAAAAATGTTACACCTGAAGGGACAATCACACAAGTGGCGAAGACCTACGTGCCTTAGACATTCAACGAAGTCGGGATCATGGTGTTGGAACTTATGTAGAACTCCGTAATTTCTGTGGAATGTCTGTTCCAAAGACTTTTAGCGATTTGGAGGGTTACATAACAAAAGAGGTAAGTAATCATTTTAGTATTATTTAAAACATAAGTTTGTAGTTTTAATACTAATTACAAATATGCCATTTACTTATCTATTATATTTCTGTCTATTGTCGAAAATGGATCAGTTCATAGAATTCACGAAATATACACATATTTTAATATACGATTTAAGTTGCGTGACCTGTGATACTATCTGTATTAAATGTATGAAGAAGAAAAAATTGCTTTGATTAATTTCTGATGGAGGCCCTGAACTATATCGAGACCAGACAAAGACAGAAAAAACAGACGGCACTTCTTATAAATTCAAGCCTCCTTATAATTATACCGACCATAGAATCGGATTAAATTAACAAAGTTACGATAAATTTTCTTGCGCGGTACCCTGCATTTTCTATAAATATATAACAACAGCTATCTGATATATCAATAGAATCGGTCTAGCTCAGTGAACGCAAATAAACATGACATAAAACAAAACTATACCGTGAAGACGTGGGACTTATAAACCGTACCGCGAGACTGTTTATATGTTGACTGAACTATAGTTGAACTAACAAATGAGTCTTTTTTAGTTTGATGGCGCGTGATAACTGTCAGTAGAGTTGTGGTGCTATTTATTAACAATCACTTGTCCATGTTTCATTAGAGTTCACTGGTTTAGCCATTTTGGTGATTAGCTGTTGCACCCTGACTCAGATTTGGGTAAATGTAAATAACTTTAACTCCGGCGTAATTCAAATCAAATAAATTTTAAACGATAGAGAAAAATCACTTATGAATTTATCAACAAGCAGAATTCGGCGGTCGCTTCTAGTTTTCGAAAAAATAAATAATGAAATAGTGTGATTTTTACTATAGAAATCCGCCATTTTTTTTGTTGTCAATATGTCATTTCAGCTCGTATTTCTTGGTGGTCATAAAAAAAAAACCTAACATCGAAGGTTAAGGCGGGAGCTCCGCTCCCGCCTGAACCTTCTAACCTAATCTATCCGAGTCAGATTCGCTCTGTGTCGGTTCTGTGATTCATTAAATTAATAAAATCGGAATATCGATACGTGTATGATATCGCCCGCTTCCTATATTTATCATGTTGGCAGAACTGTGTATTGAGTTTTTGAAGTCAAACAAATAAAATGGTGGATTTCTTAGTACAAAAAACAAGTTTTAAATATTTTTTTTCTCGAAAACTATGAGCGACCGCCGAATTCTGCTTGTTGATTAATTCATTAGAGATTTATCTCTATCGTTTAAAATTTATGTGATTTGAATTACGCCGGAGTTAAAGTTATTTACCTTTACCCAGATTTGTATGGATAAATGTTTACTATGACATGATGGGGTGACATAAATTAATACATTAGAAAACAAATTAGATGGAAACGATTACTGCCATTGTACAATTACACTGCATTTTTTATGAAAACTTTACTTACTATAAACTTTTATTTTTCCATTATGCTTAATAGAACGTGAAGATATTGAGATCTTTATACAAAGGGCCCGAAGACATAGATTTAGTAGTTGGTGGATCGTTGGAAAAACATGCGCCCGATGCCCTCGTTGGTCCGACATTTCTCTGCATTCTCCTTAAACAGTTTTACAACACGCGCGTAGGCGATCGATTCTTTTTCGAAAATGGTGCTGACAAAAGTATTGCCTTCACATTACGTAAGTACCATTGAACTGAAACATGTGTAAAAAGGTAAAACTGAAGAGTCTGCAATACATCAATGTTTTAGCCTGAGTTTTAATCGATTTTGTAAAAAATACCCAAACGACTATCGATTTTTTCTTTGGAAGTTAATAAAATTAAAAGGCATACTGCTATTTACTACTATATATTTAATTCTCTTATGCTATAGGTAAGCCCTGCAAAAAAATAACAGAAGCATTCTCTCCGTAAATATGAAAAATGCTTATGTCACGATTGTCACAGTTTCGGGTCATGATGCTCATGTGTGGCCTAAAAATAGGATGATAATACTCTTGCGAGATGATCTTTACATAATAAAATGAAGTAATGCGGAATAATAATTAAAATTCATCTTAAGAGTTTCTCTCATAATATCAAATGAAAGGCCCGAATATTGAATGAACAATCTATTGTTACGAGTACAAATTAGGTCCGGGCTCATTTTGAAATTTATCAACGAATCACCGTAAAGAATAAAGAAGAAAATTATTTTGTATCTTTGTTTCTCTCCCCATATATGTTCGTATATACACTATTCGTCGTTTAATGGAATCGCTTTAGAAGTTATATTGTGTTTTATATTCATTAAGAAATTTTGACATACCAAATTCTAGATGATAGACTTCAATTAACTAAATATAAATATATAAAATAACTAAAGTAGTTTCATTCAATAATAAATCACAACGTTTCTTATTCTTTACGCTCCACATTTTATTGCAGCCCAATTAGAAACTATACGCCATGGAGCTTCTATGGCACGTCTACTGTGTGATAATGGACGCAATATACAACGGATGCAGCCAAAGGCCTTTGCCTTAGTATCACCCGAGTAAGTTAAATAAAATTTTTGACACGTAAAATTATTTATGTGTATATCTATGTATGTTGTATGTGTTTAAAGTAAAAGTATCTAAAAATTTACAGTAGCAAACAATAAGTAGACAAAAGCCATATTATGTATTAGGAAAATTTTGAAAACAATGTGTCGTTCCGTTGCGCTATAAAAGACGCAAACAATCTAATAAAACTATACGACTTTTGGATTGCAACTGCATAATTGTTTCTTTTTCCGGTTTTAATCTATAACATAAGACATTTATAGCATAACAATTTTACTCATTGAATATTATTATATAAGACTGACTTTATTATTATTTATTATATAACCTTCTGATAATTGAACAATTGTGAATCATTGCAGAAATCCTTTGGTGCGTTGCAGTGAATTACCATTCGTTGATTTGACATTATGGAAAGATTCGTTGGAAAATTAAGTAATGTAAAAAATTCTAAATAAAGACTTACGTGAAATTAGTGTAATTTTAACTGAAATTCAAAACTGTGTAAATATAATTTGCAAGTGCTTTTTATCCTATATCACAAATTTCTATTAAGGATAAAATATGTTTTGGATATTTGCCCTTTGAATAAACTCTTAGTTATATTCATAGGTTTTTTTTTCAAATACGTATAGTAAGTTTTTATTACACTCGTATCAGTTTCCCACATAAACAGTTCGTTTAACTTACACGGACTAAAATATAAACACTTTTCCACGTTTTTTTTTTGTTTCTGATCTGTTTTCATACAAGTCACTGGACTGAAGTATTTAGTACCCATGTTTTCAGTCTGGTGGTTACATAAAACTGTCTGTTGCAAAACACATGGGAATGTAATTTTTTTTAGTGAAAAGTTCTTGAAAAAAGGCGGTTAGCCTGATGTTAAGTGATTCCGCCGCCCATGGACACCAACATCACTTGAAGGTTTGTAAACACGCTGACAACCAATCTGAAGAAATATTCATTGCCATAAACATATGTCCATGAAATACATATGGACATTTGCCCGTAGCACTATTCAAAACACAGAGTTACGACGTGACGTTACTATTGGTGGACGTTAAGGCGACAGTATTAAATCACGCTTTAATTAAATGAGCTTTGATCGCTCCTATTTATTGCATTGAGTCGAGAGTCTATTTTTGCTGGCACTTAACGGCGTGACTGTTTGTAACGCCGAAATAAAATCAGCAATTTCAGATCGTTTGTTTTAATTATCTGTCATGTTAATTATCTGGCGTAGTACATGAACGCCATACTTTGCGTGAAGTCCGTTCCGTAAAGTTTGGGGGCTAACAACTACGACGGTCGAGTTTTTAAGCCTTAATCCTATCCCTCGGACGGTCATATTGGATTAACGTCTTGCGGTGAGATGCATGAAACTATTCATTTTTTTTATTAAAAATCATACATATTACATTGCATTTATAACAAAATCTGTTAATTATTTTAGCAAATGTCACAGAATCAGGTTTATTTAAAACCTATCTAATAATTGTTAGTTAATTTATCAATGCGATTTTAGTTAGATCGCTCCTGTTAGCGTGCGTTTGTTTGTATCAACGAAAGTTACATTTAAACTGCTTACTCGAATTCAATCAATCACTTTTGTCATGCACAAGTTCGTTCGCAATTTAGTCCATGCAAATGAGATTTTAATGTCCCATTTATGAATTTGTTCGGCTCATATAGATTTCTTCCTTAATAACGTTTGTGTATTATTGTATTCTGTAGACTTGGTACCTTACAAAGAAATTATTAAATAAAAAACTTATATGTGTATATTTCCCCGGTGGACAATGGTATGCTAAGATTATGTTATCAGGGGATAGCTCATCACGTATACAAACATCTTTTACATAACCGAGAAGTGTTTCTCTTTTTCATTTCTTAAATAGCCACATTTTGAATGTCGGTTGAGACGGTGGTAGGGCCACGCAGCAACCTCGGCTGTTGCACGAATGGGCAGGCCCATCCAGGTAGGTACCACGACCTCACAGAAGACCGACGTAAAGTGGAAATATGAAAAATAATTTCGCGTTTCGTCTGGTGAGTGAGTTAACCGGAGCCCAATTTTCAAAAAGTTGTCAACGCATCTGTAACCCTTGGGTGTAGCAGATGTCCATGGGCAGCGGTTTTCACTTAACATCAGGACTTAACGTCTGCTCTTTTGGCAACTTAACATAAAAAAAAAAAAAACATCCTTTTCACTTAGAAAGTCAGTACTTAAGATTTGCACTGCAGTAGAACTTCTTCACGGATCTTACTTTAACCTTTAAAACAGTTTAGTATCATATAAAATTTTAAACCATTAATAAATTTTTCATACCATTACATAAAACAGTAAACAACAGTTCCAATAGAACCAAATACCAGGATTTAAATGTTATGTGATATATTAGTCTATATGCTGTTATGTTAATGACTTTAGTGGTAATAAGCTGTGATGACATAGAAATTTTAATTCTTAGAAGTCTTTCTTCTAGAACTTGGGTAAGGAATTTATTATTCACCTAAGTAGTGAGGTAACAATAATTAAGTTTATAATTAATTTTGTTTTTGTACTAGTTGCTGCACACGAAATGAAATAACGAATGTGAATATTTTGTGGATCAATTTTCAAAAACTTTTCTCGGTTTTGCAGTAATAAAACCTGTGTCCAACCAGATTACTGTCGTGAATAAGTTGCAAATTAAATCATGGTAGCACATTAATGTAACTGAGATAAGTAAATTATTATTTATCTTTTTTAACCAATGTCTACTGCATAATTGACAATTTTATAAAGATAAATTGCATTGGCAATTTGCAAGTTTTATGTGCAAAGCAAAACTCTGTGGATATTTTTAAAGAAAATTTTGCGACCATTTATTTCCTTTGTTTTAAAAGATATCTTCAAACAAAGTAGGTAATTGTTAAACGATCTGGCAACGTTGATGCAACTACTGACTGAACCGTGAACAAAGGGTAAAAAGTGACGTAAAAAGTGTTTGAAGCGTTAAATTTTTTCTGCAGTGCATTCCCTTTTATATTTACTACAATTCGAATTATACTGCCAATTTATGAAGTGAATGAAGCAATTTAAATTGTTTATAGTGCTTATCTTTGCACTTAAGATTGAACATTAAAATATGTAGAAAAAGTGTATTTCTATAAATGCTAAGAAAACAATGTAGACGAATGTGTTAAGATTTTCGTCGGTGTGTCAATCAGCCGTTTAGCTCAGTGGTTAGAGCGTCAGGCCGCGAATGCCGAAGACGTGGGTTCGATTCCCACAGCGGCGACAATCTTTTCGCACTTTTTCTACATATTTTAATGTTCAATCTTAAGTGCAAAGATTAGCACTATAAACAATTTAAATTTCTAAAAAAGCAATGGCGACATCTCTCGTTCGAATTATCGTTGTAAAACGATATTCGAAATTGTTTGTATGCTGGAAAGGATATAACAATAGATGGCGCCAAGCATTGCTTCAAATGCTAAGAAAACAATGTAGAAGAATGCGTTAAGATTTTCGTCGGTGTGTCAATCAGCCGTTTAGCTCAGTGGTTAGAGCGTCAGGCCGCGAATGCCGAAGACGTGGGTTCGATTCCCACAGCGGCGACAATCTTTTCGCACTTTTTCTACATATTTTAATGTTCAATCTTAAGTGCAAAGATTAGCACTATAAACAATTTAAATTTCTAAAAAAGCAATGGCGACATCTCTCGTTCGAATTATCGTTGTAAAACGATATTCGAAATTGTTTGTATGCTGGAAAGGATATAACAATAGATGGCGCCAAGCATTGCTTCAAATGCTAAGAAAACAATGTAGAAGAATGCGTTAAGATTTTCGTCGGTGTGTGAATCAGCCGTTTAGCTCAGTGGCTAGAGCGTCAGGCCGCGAATGCCGAAGACGTGGGTTCGATTCCCACAGCGGCGACAATCTTTTCGCACTTTTTCTACATATTTTAATGAATGAAGCAAGTTGATTTGGCAAAGATTTGCCAGTCGTAATTCTTAAGCTTTTATAGGTGTTTATTGTTCCGTGTGTAGACGAGCTTTGTAGTGACGAAGAAGGAGACTAGCAATCGACAATACTCAGTTGTTTCGCAGCAAGCGTCATTATTCAAAATAATTTTTGTGCCAGGTCTAGATGTGACGGACGCCGAAACATGATGTAAGGCAGAAGCAAGAAAAACGTTATAGAAGAATAAAGAATACTTATAGAATACTAGAGAAAGAAGGCTTTTTGGAAGATATTAATCTTCTGTGTCATATAGTGTTTAGTGTTATCGAGATATAGACAGGTTTCTATATCGTATATAGAAATATGTACCATACCATGTGGTGGCGCGATTTTGGGGTAAGAAGTGTATGTACAGTTCTTACCCCATAGTCGGCTACTTTTAACTGTAAATGAGTGATGGTCGATGGCAAGGAAATTCTCACTTTATCTACCCCAAGCACAGGCGGAGTAGGTCTAGCACCTCCCAAAGATATCACCCAGTAACAGCAGCTACCTGGGTGTCGACCGCTTAGCAATAGATTTGAGCTTGGCGAGGAGATCGACGTGCTGTACTTGCATGTCCACTGGTGCATAACACAAACAGCTTTGGTTTAGCTGCTATTCCTTCGTGCCACTAGTGCAAATAACATTTGTACCGAGTTCTACTGACTAAACGACCTCGATAGTGAACTCTGATTACCCCTTTGCATTGCATTTATATACCAAAGTTCCTTATTTCTAAGTCAACTGACTTTGAATACTTCTCGACTTTCTGTCAGCTGGTAGCCTCCGCACTTAAATGTGAAACTCCATTACACAGTTATCTATATTAGTATATTATTTTGACTCCACTTTACATGCATAACATGCAAATAAAGTACTTAACAGATGATAGCTACTGTATATTAAATACATAATATACTTATATAGCTAGGTACATAAAGTGTTAAATTATATTATTAACACAATGTTATCAGAGTTCGACCTTTCCTCGAATTAGGAGTATGTCAATGATATTTCGAATGCTAACATATTGACGTATTGAGAGCTGATCAACATATTTACATATTTGAATGCAAACAATTATTATTAATAATATTATCTAATTTTCTATGCAATAGCATCATTATGGTAACAAAGGCCTTTAAAGATTACACCAATTTGTCGCTGAATACACGTGCGTTGCGTATTAGTTTACATAAGTGTTGGCTTTAAATTATCTTGTTCTATTTTTGTTCCAACAGGTTCTGTTACTTGAACTGTGTCACAATGAAAATATTAATTTTAATAAAATAAAGTCGGTAGTGTTATGAGAAACAGATTGAGGATTTTCGTATAAAAAAAATTATCAAAATATGATGTATAAGTATATTAAAATTGTTGATGAAAAGGACCTCCAAATACATTTTCGAATTTTGTTATCAAATAACAATTATCATAAG